AAAAAAAAAAGGAACACTTCAGAAACAATAATTACTAAATGATTGATTTAGTAAGTAATATATTTACATGGTAATGAAAGACATAGTTTAAGTGTGTCTTCTTGGGCCTGCTACAGTTAATAATGATGCCAGAGTTCTGACTTAGCATGTGTGTTCAGATTTGTGCCCAACTGCTGTATTCTTCTGGGCCCCATCTCTCCACTGGGCTCAGTTCTAGGACTTTGACATCGACATTCTTTGGTCTCTTCCAGTTTATTTGCTTCCTTCTTGCATCTCTATCCCCATGCCTTCCTGTTCCATTCCAACTTTTAATTCTAGATATTAATACTCCTTTTCCTTCTTTCTTTTCAACATTGCCCTCTGCAACCTTCAGGAATCCATACATTTCTCTTTCTTTTCATTATATAGGTGTTCATTATTCTAAGTTACTTAGTATCCTTACTCATTATCCTTACTTACTATCCTTAGGTATAACTCCTTTTCACTTTTTGAGTCATTTATTAGGAAAAATAAATTCCTCTGTCATGGCTATGTAACAGGTCACAGTACGGCCTGTTTGAGCTCACTTCTTTCCCTGATCATTTCCTCAAGTACATTTTGGGGGAAAGTGTTTGCCAATGTGAAGCTCCTCGAAACTTCTAGCATCTTTCCTTTGGGATTCAGAACACTTGAGGTCACTGTCCTTATCTCTTGTTTCTTAGCAGTGGAGCTCAGTTTCTGTGGTAAAAGCAAAAAGTCTTGATTTATGGCTCTGCCCTGGCCTCCAGCTTTTAAGAGATCTCTCTCCTTCCCAGAGAAAAGAGAAAGCCTGGGCTGACCCACTCCAAAGGGAACTGGGTGCAGTTTACACAGTCAGCCCTCCTTATCTTTGGGATCTGCATCTGCAGAGTCAATCAACTGCACATCAGAATTGCTCAAAAAGAACATTTATCTTTATTGAACATGCACAAAGTTTTGTCATTATACCCTAAACAATACAGTGTAGCAACTGTTTGCATAACATTTACATTATAAGTAATCTAGAGATGCTATAATTATACAGGAAAATGTACATAGGTTATATGAAAACACTACATGGTTTTATGTAAGGGACTTGACTATCCATGATCTTAGTTCCCATGAGGGTGCCCTGGAACCACTCCTCCAAAGGATACTT